GCGGGAATAATACTGTGACAAGCACGGTGACTCGCACCCTTACAGGGATACGATATATAAATGCATACTGTATGGGATGATTGATCTAACACTTTCATTTTTAACACTTTCCGCATTGTAGTGGAGTAAATAGAGACATTAGAGACATTAAGATGCGCATACGAGAACGGATACGTCACTGCTTTGTGCATGACCTCCGCGCGAACCAATGACGTCATCGGTTGCCTGGTCGTTCGGCAGTCGTTTTGAACGTGATCAAGGTGACTGACTCGTAGTTGATTTCCGAGAGCTTTTCTCGCTGTCAATTTTGAATAATTTCCATTGACATTGATAAAACGTTTTATATTAGAGTGTTTTTGAATACTTATGATGAAATAAGAAATATTGGATGCATTTTAGCTGACATTTATACCCAATGAAAACGCATGATATTGTTCTGCGAAAGAGGATTCGGCAAACAGGCCTAGGACCTCAGCAGAGTGGATGGAAATAGTGAGAGCTCTGTCAAATGTCTGTGAACTAACTACTAATTCTGATTCCGGACGTGAAATGACATAACAAATTTTATTAGGTAGTTATTGTTGCCCAATGAGAGACGGATTGACATGGTTCTGGTTTCAGTTACGTTCCCGTTGTGGGCGCTTGAACTTAATCGTTTTCTGACACCCGAGAACGTAACGCAAACGAAATTAGAACACCACGTTACGTTCCCGTTACGTACGCAAATCTTAAACTCTCTATTAAGATGCGCATACGAGAACGGAACGAGAACGGACACGTCACTGCTTGTGCATGACCTCCGCGCGAACCAATGACGTCATCGGTTGCTTGGTCGTTCGGCAGTCGTTTTGAACGTGATCAAGGTGACTCACTCGTAGTTGATTTCCGAGAGCTTTTCTCGTTGTCAATTTTGAATAATTTTCATTGACATTGATAAAACGTTTTATATTAGAGTGTTTTTGAATATTTATGATGAAATAAGAAATATTGGATGCATTTTAGCTGACATTTATACCCAGTGAAAACGCATGATATTGATCTGCTTAAAGAGGATTCGGCAAACAGGCCTAGGACCTCAGCAGAGTGGATGGAAATAGTGAGAGCTCTGTCAAATGTCTGTGAACTAACTACTAATTCTGATTCCGGACGTGAATGACATAACAAATTTTATTAGGTAGTTATTGTTGCCCAATGAGAGACGGATTGACATGGTTCTGGTTTCAGTTACGTTCCCGTTGTGGGCGCTTGTACTTAATCGTTTTCTGACACCCGAGAACGTAACGCAAACGAAATTAGAACATCACGTTACGTTCCCGTTACGTACGCAAATCTTAAACTCTCTAATACCGTGCATTGATGAATATACTAGATTGTTATTCGTGGTGAACTACGTAAAAACGCTGTTATACAAGCTCACACCAAAGATGCGTTCAGTGTAACAATGAAAGTCTCTAGGGGGCGTATGAACACTAATTGTTTTAGTGCGTACAATAACCATCACCGCACGCGCGTGTGTTTGTTTTCGTCCAACGAATACTATACAGTGTATTTCAAAGGCAATCAAATTTGTTCCTCAAAATACCACATCAAACAACAATATTTTCGTTCACATTGTTTTTCCTTTGTTGTACTTCTTCCCGTATTATCTGAAAGGCGCTGACCGAACGTCTACTGCAAAAATCGAGTAATTACTTTGATTTTAAACTGTGGATCAGCAAATGTGTATAGCACGTCATCAAATGTGTATAGCACGTCATCACACGTGTATAGCACGTCATCACATGTGTATAGCACGTCATTAAATGTGTATAGCACGTCATTAAATGTGTATAGCACGTCATCAAATGTGTATAGCACGTCATCACATGTGTATAGCACGTAATCACATGTGTATAGCACGTCATCACATGTGTATATCTATACTGGCTTCACATTGTTTTCAAAGATGAACACACTTAAAAACGCTCGAATCACCGAACAAATGTAAAAAAAAAAAAAACATTTATCATATGTTATGCATACTTTAAAAGTATGTGCATAAATAATAAAAAAATATAGTTTGATTTACAAACATTAATCGATCTGTTTATTTGAGAGCTATATCCGCTTAGTATAAGCGTCTGTAAAATTGACGGTGGAGTG